GGCAAACCATTGAACCATGGCTCATGCTAAGGTTATATAAACCCCTCTACTAAATGAGTGGAAATGGTTGACTCAGTTCTCTGGTTTGCTTTTGTGTGATCTGTTTCTGGTAAGCAATGATTTTTTTTTTAATTCTAGTCTGTTGTGTGCATTTTTACGTAATAATCTTCTATTGTTTCAAAGAAGTATTAAAGGCCAAGGAAGAGACTGGTAAGCTATGTCAAATGAAATCTGTGAAATGTCAACCGCGGATCAGCAGCTGGGGGACAGAGTCGGACCTAGAAATTTCAGACATTCTGTCTTCTGGCTGTAACTCAGAATGAATTAGAGTGATGTCATCTTGTTCTGACATAATGGGGGAATTAGATAGTCCATAGGAGAAAAATTATAAATCACTACAATTTATAGTCAGCATCAAAATGGTTTGTCTATTTTGGCATCAAAATTTTTAAATTCACCTTCTTTGGATTTAAAAAAAAGCTTTCTCTTTGGGCAGAATATTTGGACCATATTCATTTGGGATATGTGTGTGTTAAGAAGACTAGGTTGGAAAATAGGTGACAACACTGAGAAAATGGGATTCTGAATACCCCCATCCTACCTTCAGTAACAATCAGAACATTTAAGTTTTGCTTAGTGAGTTTTTTTTTAAGTGTGCAGGGTTTTTGTTTGCTTGCTTGCTTCTAGAGTAAATGGCCTCATACTACTCAAGTTTCTTGAGTTCTTTTGGCTTTTTAAATACGTTCCTCGCATGTCTCTTGCTATGACTTAGTGATTGTTTTTGGTTGCTCCCAGGGCCTTGCCTCTAACAGTAGGATTCTCTTTCACCTTGTCCACTCCTCTCCTGCTCCCTCATCCCTGATTCTAATTTGCTGTTTCTACTCTACTGTGAGCTGGTTAACAACTAAACAAGTTTATAAAAATTAAATTTAAATTAACAGGGAGGTTGTGAGAGGCTTCAGTAAAATAGCATGTAGTGTTTTTAGGCAGTAACAAATTGATTCTATGTGCTGTACTTGAAAATCAGTCACATTTATGCACTCGTTTCTTACACTGGACTTTTAAGTGCTGAATTCTTGTTTATTTCTTTGTTCCTGGCAATTGTCTGGATAATCAAGATCACATTTTATTACTTTTTCTCTTTTCTCTATACACGTAAAAATTAGAATTTTTCTATCAATTCTTTTCTTTCAAATCAAAGACTACTTTAGGTGTACATTTATTTTGTTTAGAATAGTTTAAATTTGCATTAATACTTAATAGAGCGTGACATACTATATTTTGAAAGTATATTAACTTTATACTATATAATCTTATTTATTTGAATAACATGGGGAAAAATCCAGTCTGAATTAGCAAAAAGCAAAATGTAGAGCCAGTCGAAGGCTCAGTAAATACTGTTTTATTCCTCCCAGGTCTCTGAGATAAACGATGCTAAAATCTTGAGGTGTATGTACTTCCACATTTTTTTCTTCGCTCAACATTGTTATTACATTAAATAATATATAGAGCATGGCCAGGGTTTGAAACTTGTGTGAATGAATAGATAAGAATGATTTGTAATAAGCATATAGTTATATGCTCTCTAGATAGATACATACAAAGACATATAATTTATATGTAGATATATAATCTAAATATAGATATAAGGACCTGTTACATGGAATTAACATTCTAGATGACACCTAAAATGCCCAACTGAATTCTGTTCATTTAGTTAGTTGAATACGCCCTCTGTTCATAGCTAGTAATCATAATTCACCCTATAGCCCCATCATCCCAAATTATAAAAAGAGAAGGTTTTATATTGCTGATAATCTTTGCCTCCTTCCCCTTCCCCATACACATTTTCTACCCTTTGTTAATCAAACCTTTGTTTATGAGTCAGACTTACTGTGCTGTAGGGGAGGGAGTTGTGAAACAAAATTGTTCTCCTCCATCAAGCTGATGATACCAGGGTCATACTTCTCAACACTGCAGCTTGCCCCATCCACACATCTCTGCTCTTGTCAGTCCTCAACAGAAAGGGAAAGTGGCAGAAGTACCAGAAGTAAAGACTGAAAAACCATCGAGAGCATGTTACATCTTTTATTTCCAAATTACTAAATATAATACCCTCCTAAAAAAAAACCAAAATTGAGGTACTGGCGATGGCTATTCAGTGATGACATAGGTTGCCTTCCTATTCAAATCCACTCCTTTCCCTCCCTGGCGATCTTCTGCCCACAGGATCCAGTGTTGGTGTGTAGTGTGGACTCCTTCCCGCCCTGAAGTCTGTGATCCCACAGTTACTCCTCCCTCTCGCACAACCTCGGAGTGACCTGTGACACACAGTGAGGACATGTTCCCCAAGAAAATAACCTCTATACAGGGAATCATGGCATATAAGTTTTTTACTAGATGTTCTCAGGACAGTGCCAGGATTCATGTGCTATGTTTTTTCTCAAGGCCATTCAGCACATCTTTTCAGGCTAATTCCAATTCAGATGATGTGCTTGGAAAATAGGTATTTACCAGGCACAGGACACTCAGATACTATTCTCCTCCAGCTGAGTGGAGATATAAATTATTGATTGAGCAGGCATCCTAACCCAGCTAGTTGGTTTAAGCCTCCTCTGACTTCTCTTCTCCAGAGGTTAACTAGTCCAAATCCTCCCACTTGGTTCCTACATCACCTCCTTACATAGTCTCATCAGACCTCAGCAAGGGGTGTGCAAAAAGAAATGGGATTTCATCTTACTGCAGCAATACAAATGTAGAAGCTCTGCCTTGTTAAATACTCTGGTTCAAAACATTGCAAATTGCTTGATAAATTTGACTGGTTCATCCTCCCTTTGATTATTTGTAGCCCAACACAAAAAGCCCAGCAAAACAAAGGGACCTGTTTCTATGAAATAAGTGGTGTATACAGACAGCACCATTTACACATTAGGGTAAAACAAATCCTGTCTTTCTACACAGTGTAAGAAATGGCCTATTGAAAGTTTTCAATGTACTGAGCCTTTGGGGAGACTAAACACTTCACTGCTAGTATAGCTCCTCCCACATTACTGTGATGCTCCCTCCCACTGCACTGACAGGGTCCCTGCTCCTTTCTCCACCACATTTGCACCAGCCCCCTACTGAACTGGCAAATCAAGTATCATTTTGATAGTCTATGATCACTGCTCAACTTGAACATTGTTCCCATAAGTACACTTCAAGGAAAATTCAATGTTCGAAAGTATAAATGGTCATTTTCAACCTAATGGGTCCGATTCTGCCATTTTTCCTTACAATTAGAAGATCAATGGCTAGTTATCCATTTTATATCTCAGGTTAGTTGATGATGTCACCTTATTTAAACACCTGTATGTCCTCCCTCCAAAACTACCAGTAGTCTTATTGTGATTGGCACTTCTGACTGCAAAAGATGTCCCACATTGTGTTCCTGTTACACCCTGGGCAATGTTCTTTGCAAGCACAGGACCCACACAGATCTCTTGGGTTCTGGATTTCAAACCACACTTAACCTTTGAGGTTTCAGTTAATTTATTCTTAGCAAAAGAAAATGTATTGTAAAGAGAATAGGATTAGAGAAGCTTATAATAAAGTCTTGTAACACTTGTTGGACCTCAGATGTGTCTTACAGAACAAAATATGTTTATGAGCTAAGTGTAAATGAATGAGAAACATATGGATCAAATTTCCCCTAAAATGCAAACGGGTATAAAAATCAGCGGAAAAGGGGTCTGGCAAAAGATATGCTTTGAATTTCACCAAACCCAGAGTATTTGAAATATACTTAAAGAAAATTGACAAACTCAGACTGTGACTAGATTTTCCCTTTGTTTATGTCTTTTATTCCTTCAGTATCTCAGTTGAGAAGTCAGTGGTTAAAAATGGGAGAGAAAAGTTAAGATTTTTTTAAAGAGTTTTTTGTCACGCACTTGTACAGCCAGAGTGGAGATTTAGAATTTGAAGGGTTTGTCTTTGCTTGTGCTATTTTACGTCTCTCATGCTTCCTTTTATAATTGTTTTTCTTAGGTTTGCACCTTCTGCTCCATCTCCTCACCACATCAGCCCCCGGAGGGTTCCAGCTCCTTCAATAATGCAAAGAACACAGCCTCCTCATACCCAGCAGCCCTCAGGATCACACCTGAAGTCTTACCAGCCAGAAACAAACTCTTCTTTTCAACCAAATGGAATCCATGTCCATGGTAAGCAAGTAGCTGTCAATCCCTTGAGTTTTGAAAAGTGATATTATACTGTTCCTTTTAATCAAGTGTCTTAGTTACCTGTTGGGAATTTCAGATGTTCTGTAGTACACCACCAGGCTTTGGCTCTTATGACTTTCCTCTAAAATTTCACACTTACTCAGCATGACATCTTGCAGTATTTTCCTGCTTTGACCCTAAGATGGTATGACTCACGACACCCCCGAGTGGTCAGCCCAAGGTGATGATGCATTCACTGACCCAGAGCTTTTAGCACCTCACAGATAGACCCTATCCACAGCATCTTGTTTCTTAAACAATAAACAGTGTGAAAGGGAACAATGGAAGTCCTTTTGCCCATGCATACCTCTTCTCTCACAGGTCTCTGCCCTCATTCCCATACGCCCAGGTCCCCTCCATCCCTCAAGCCGCAGATGGAATGGCCCTTCCTCTCTGAAGCCTTTCCTGATCTCCTTTCTGGACATACTCTCTCCTGGCTCCAAACTCTGATTGCATATCACGTGTATTTCTGATACTACCTGTGCTCTCCCTCCCTTGTAATTTACTTCTCTGTGAGTAAAAGTTGTCTTCACTTGTAATGTATGAACTTCTTTCTAAAGTCAGAATTTTCTTACCCATTGTTCTTTTGCTTAGAGAACTTAGCACAGTTCTTCACATTTTGTAAGACACATAGATGCTTGATAGGTGCATGGCTGAAGAGGAGGAGGGAAGGAAGGCGAGAGAAATCATGATGTGCAGATCTTGCATTTAACCTAGAACGTGCACAGTGAACTGATTTAGCTCAATTTCTTTTCTTTACTTAAACCAATTTTGTTGACTCTGGCATATGTCTTAGCAAACACCCCTAGAAAGTCGTGTTGTCAAATCATATAGATTCAAACAATACAAAGCCTTTTACTTCCTGGGGACAGACACCTATATAAGCAGAAGGGATACTGTCCATTTAAACTGAGAGTTTCAGCTCCTGAAAAATACGAGTCTCCTCCATCTGTCTCTCGTTGATTCCTGAATTTGCTCCGTATGAATTATTACTTGAAGTTAATGGATAGTGTCCCCAAACAAATCTAAATCAGTATTCAAGCTGAGTGCAGACAAGTGTGAATGACTTCCCAAGATGGAAGACTCAAGCAGTACTACAGGGTTTGGTTTGGATGAGAGCTTCAAATAAGGGTCTGGACAGCTGAAGTGGAGACAACGTGGAGACAATGGCAGGCTGTTGGAAGGGAAGGATCTTGGGAAGCCCAGGGCCGCTGGCTCTGGCGTAAAGTTCCACCCATCTCTTCTCCCCTCTCCCTGAGAACAGTCACACAAGCACCCTGTTCCCCGACAAAACTTTGGCTTCCACCATTTTGGGGGGGCCTATGCTAATTTTTTACCTTCTTCTGACAGTAAGTTTCTTCTCAAGCATTAGTTATGTGTTTATTCAACCAAGAAATATTCGCTGAGTGCCTACTATGCATAAAGCAGCGAATGTGTGAGAAAAGGAGCCTCCTCACCATGGCAAGGAGCTTGTCTAATATTGGGAGGGATCCGGGTGCTGTGAAGCCACCTTTACCTGCAGGTAGGAGGCAGACAACATGAGTTGGGGCTATGTAGCATACAGAATAGGTCACAGATCCTAAGACACACGATTTTTACCTTCATGTTTTAACGTTGCTGAAATCTGAATGTATCTCAGTCAGTGGCATCGTATAATTGGCAGTGATTTTTCTTTCTGGTGCTATATAGAATAATGGAACATTTTATAGTCAATGGTGTCATAGTTCCAATGAAATGCAGTATAACACACTTTGATTACAACTGTGAAGCACATTTTAAAATTTTAAAAATTAACCTACATGTAGAAAAAAATTAGAAGGAAATTCTCCAAAATCTTAACAGTTTTTTTTTTAAATCATAGTGGTAGGATAATGGATGTTTTTTGTTCTTCTTTTTTCTGCTTTATGAAGAAATTTTAAAAGAGATTTTGGAATTAGACCAATTTGAATGCGAATACCAATCTACTCAACTGTGCGACTCTGGACAAATTATTAAACCTCAGTTCACTTTAATTAAATGAGGGGAGTTTTACCTACCTTCTTTCTTCAGTTGTTATGAGGATTCAACAAGAAGAGCACCTGGCTGAGTGTAGGAGCTTAATTAATTTAAGCCTCTTCCTTCTACTCCCTTTTCTTTATTAGACTCTTTCAGAATAGAAATAATATTTGTAGCCTTAGGGCAAGCATAATACTTGGTGCTAAGTAGGCATTTAGTGACTATTACTTAATATGTGATTGACACTCTCTCATTCAACCGAAGAACAGTGAAACAAGAAGACACAGAAAATGGGACCTACCGTATCATTTTTGCCCTACCTCTTGGTGAAGGAGTCTTCTTCCATATTTCTCTTTTTCAGCTGAATACTGAATATTTTGTCAACTTGAAATTTTGGGGTTTTTTTTTTAACTTTCACTTTAATTGTTAAAAACTCCCATGGCCAATGAGAAACTGCTAATAGTGTTACCGACCCTCCCTAGTTGGTCACTATCAAGGGTCCTTCTGCCCAGTGCTGTTTGAGCCATAGAACGAGACTGAGTTTGGTTCAGAAGTAAAGGAAAGCTTTATTCTTTGATCAAAGAATGGAGAGGTGCAAACTCAAGCTCTAGAGCACACACTCCTCTGGAAAGGCTGTAAGCTGGGCTGCTTTATAGGGTTCTGTTATACAGAGGGAAGGGCAGAGTTCTTGTAGGTCTGGTGCAGCGTTTCTGTGCATGGCATGCCATCCGCATCCTGAATTGCAGTGTCGTGCTCAGTGCTTCTGCAGAATGCACACCAAGCTGAAGGGTGTGGCACAGCAGCTCTGCGCTGGGAACTCTAATCCAACATATTAGGTGCAAGGCCCCCTAGAGGCAAGTGAAACTAGACTCCGCACAAAAGAAGAGGTTTTACCTTATCACCTAGATTCCATCTTATTTTTCCAGGGGACCGCAGTAGACTTTACCAGTGACAATAGCAGCTGTAAAAATAAATACATATGACAAGCCTTTCTGGAAGAGACCAAATTAGTTATGCAGTTTGGGAAATTATGATTTTCTAATGGGAAGATGGACAAGTGCCCACAGCGATGAGCTTGCAAAGAGGGTGCCCATGCATTAGCCCCTGGGCCAGTGCTAGGAATTATGAGGTAGGGATCCAGATGCAGCCTCACTTCTTTCTCCAAGCATTTTCTCTGAAATTGCTTTTCTGAAACTTTCTGGATAAGAGCATTTCGCATCAACTACTCCCTAGGATAAGAGACAAATTTATCTAATATTTTTCAAGTGGGTGATACAGTACTGGGAGTGAGAGGAGCAGAGACCCTCTAAGTGAGTTGTAGTTACTGACCACGCCTTTCAGCTCTGGTTGGACTAGTTTGCTTAATGGTATTATATAGCATCTTGGTAACGAGGAACTTTATCCCCAATAAAACTAGATTTTTAAAGCCCCAAGCAGTGTCAATTTTGCTATCACGTAGCTACAGTGAATGTTTGTTCTTTCTTTCAAGAAGTTCATGGCTTTAATGAGCATCATAACCCCCATCCTCTCTGTGCTCCCTGCGGTAGATAGAGGTCAGAAGGAAATGTCATCACTGTATTTTTAGAGATGGGAACTGAGACATAGAAGAATATAAAGTGTCCAGGCATTGCTGCCTTGGTAAAAGATACAGGCATCTTTAACAAGAAGTCTACATTTCCAAGCCACATTCTTAATCTACCTGTTTCTACATCAAAGGCACATCAAAATAAATATGCATTTATATCTTTCCATGGAATATACACTTGTATGTAGATGCTGCTGCATCACATGGAGCCGTGAAAGACTGGTATTCAGAGGGTCTTTGGTCTTACAGATAAAGAGGGAAATGAGGTCCATTGGGTATCGTTCATGCCTTACTAATTGGTACAGAGCTTAGATGTTGTGTGCTTTATGTATATATTTATTAAGAGGTATTTTGTAAAAGGCATACTTTGAAAAGATTAATAACACTGCTTTTTCAAGTTCTCTTAACTAGCAGGTGACCCAGGACCAGAGCTCAGTTTTGTTGATTCTGCATCCACTCCATCCATTCACACTGCCTTCGTTAGTAAGGTGGATAAGGTGTCATTTCTTTTAATGTGTGAATGCTGGTAGCATTAACAGGTCTCTGTTTGGGGAGCATCTCCAAGGCAACTTCTTAGTACCTTTTAGTCTTTTATTTTAGGTGTAAACATAAGGACAACTCCTTCCAATCATGTAAGCTTATTCCCCAGTCTTTTCTTTCTCTTTAGGACCATTCTCTTGTCCAGGCAAGCTTCAGAATTTTGCTTGGATTAGTTGCCTGAGAGTTGATACTTGTACATTTTGTTGTGGTACTAATGGATGATTTCTTTTTAAATGCCCTATTCACTCCAGGCTGTTAGAATGCCATGGGAATTCCTAGAACAGTATTTTCACAATCTTCCTGCTTCTGTACCCATCAAAGAGGGGCCAAGTTCAATTCACCAAGTGTTTACTGGTCACCCACTTTTGCCAGGCAAACATGAACATCATCTAATCAGTACCCAGAGGCCCCACTTTATTCAGAGGATGGTGTCAGGGAAAGGGTCGTAGAAATGACTCTTGAATGAGGTTCTGAAGATAAATAGTTGATTGGATAATGCAAGTGGGGAGATGCATTCCAGGCAGGCAGAAGCAAAGTGCACAGGCAAGAACACAACTGACAGCATGGGGTGTATCTGGAGAGAAGAGCCAGAGGCAGTTTGTGTGTGGCTGGGATACCCAGGTTAAGCAGTGGAGTGGGGCAGAGGGAGAGGAGGCTGAGGAACCAGCCAGGCCAGCTCCTAAAGGGATTTGGGGCCATGCTAAGTGTAATGCTACCAAGTGAAGAAGCGAGCCTGGTATTTTAGGAAAGTCAGCTAGAGCACTATGTAGAGAATGAAATGGGAGAGGTAGGAACATTGTATCTGTAGACTGAAAAAAGAATA